GTGTACAATAATCTTCAAACCTACCTTATTTCCTCCTGTGACAAACTGCTTGTAGTTAGATCTGCTGAATTGGGGGTGTAAGGCTACCACCTGGAATAAGAGTAATAATTTTGCTTTACTATGATGGAGGTTTTACACAGCGTGAAGATCAGGATCATGTGATATGAGCTCACTTTGATAGGACAGTCGAAGTTCTCATGGAAGCCCTCTCTTGTATACAGGCCAAACACTTGAACCTGGAACAAAGACAAAACAAGAACTGAAGGTGAATAACTCAAAATTTCTCATTTAATTGCTGCCTCTGCAACTATCAGGGGTCAGCGGGGGGAATTGCACTCAGAAAAGATTTTGATTGGCTCCCTACTTCTCCACTGGGTCACCAATTAGTGAACAAGTTGATTCTTTGAACCCTGCAGGGTTTAGAAACAGGAGTCCTAATCTTGGGCTTGACCACAGCCTCAGTTGGCAACAGCAGACCCAGAGCACCATTAGAGGACAGGACACAGAACCTTCCCATTTCTGAGGGCCGAAAAGGAACTGTTACCTCAATAATATACTTTCCTGATTATTTATTTTTTGCACTTGCTCCAGTGGTTAAGGATTAAGTTAGATTTTTGAGGATTAACCACCAAGTGAATTGGTGAGAGCAAACAATCAGTGTAACATTGATTTTAATTGTCTGTTCCACTTTTTGTGCGACAAGATCTTGTTTTTTGCCACCAAAGTGCTCAAAGTGGGGGAGGGAAGCTTATATCAAAGAGCATATCTTGACTGCAAAATCCATGAAAGATGGTGGTAATGATGAGGAGAGACAAGATAACAGCAGAGTGGAGAACAGCCATCAGAGTATCCATGGCTGATGGATGACTGACAGCTCAACGAATATGAGCACAAATCATCCTCACACTTTTCAAAATCGCTACTGCTTTTTGTAAATCCCAGCATCATGAACAAAATAAGGACAGACTAAAGATAAATCAACCTCAAATAATCTCACATGGAAATCACAAGCAAGTTCCACACTATTAGCATAACGTTTGACACAGATAGGTGAATAGTCGTCTAAAGAAGAATTATGAAAGATGAGAAATACTGATGGCTTAAGGATCAGTAAGCAGCGGTGATGAGCTGAGAGATCTCACCTTGCCATCCTCGGAGCAGATGCCCACATGCTCCCCGCTCTCATCCAGGCTGATCTGGTTGATCTTCACCGAGCTCTGCAGGCACACAATATCACAGCATCTTTTTATAGCTGTTTATGGGTCTGCCAAGTGAAATGTAAACTTTCAATATGCAATGGAATCATATGTGTGTAGAGGAAGTAGTGTGGTCCTGATATTTGCATAGTCATAGGCAAGGCTTTCAGAATAGCCATTTTCAAATTTTCGACGAATTTGTGATGCATGTTAATACAATGTTCTGAAAACAACCCATCATGCTTTGAGGCAGATTCTGATAATAGAATACATATATTCATAAGAACTTTTTTGATACTTCCAAGCTAGTTTATTAACATTAGAATGCAGATTGTGTCGTATTGTTATGTTATTATATGACGAGCTAGTACTTACAATCTCAAACTTCTGAGTTACATTTCCCTGGATGTCCAAAAGGAAGACTTTACCAAAGTGTGTACCAAGGGCTAGGAACTGTGGAAGAAAAACACAATGTAAATAAAACTTAAGACAAAAAACAAGTGAAGATTTTAGAAAAAAGAAAATCTTGTGTTAAATAAAAGTGTGCAGGAGGAAATAAATATATTTCCTGAGCTGGAGCACCAAGGGCACAGTGGGGATTGGGTGGGCTCAGAGGCAAAACTGTGAAATTGCAGAAAGTGGAAAAGACCTATTTATTAAAGCAGGCACTGTGAAATGGCATTTTTTTCTCTTGAATTAAAACGCTTAAGCATAATAAATGCACTGTACATCTGACTTCTTCCTATGCTAGCCATGCAATCCAATCTCATCGTGCCCAGCATAGAACTATTATTTCTACTGAGCAGCAACTGGTTTCTGTGCTCTACGCTGGGCAGAAATACGTGTGTAAGTGTGTGTGTACGTAGCCCACTGGGACAAAAAAATTATAAAATCTGGGGGCTTTTGGCATTAGATTAAGTGTGTGTTCCTCCACCCAGCCCTTGCTCTCTGCCCTCCTCCTAATCCCCCCACCCTCATAGACCATCGTGTGGATGTGCGGCTAGCCCACCATGCTTCAGTGCAGTCTATAATGAAATGCTTATATTTACAGGCACAGTTGAGCATGTCAGACAGAGCCGCAGCAATCTCCCAAATAAAATAACCAAAAATAAATAAATAAAGGGTTCAACCTTGTGAGGCGGAGCGACTTTTAAAGGGATTTATCAGAATGGAATTGTTCAAATGAAATTCTGATTCTGATTCAAACACTTAAAATATGAGGCAACATAAGGCAATATGTGCTAGTGGCAGCTTCATACGTGGTGGGAGTCTGTCATAGTGGCAGGGGCTGGTGTGACCACACAGGTGCCTTGATGGCCATAAAAACTAACAAAAGTCAAATCAAATATAAGATTTCATCAAAGCAAACAGTGAACTGGAATCAGAAAAGAGAGAAAAATGAAAGTTTTTCAAATAAATGAAAATCAATAGCATTTAATAAAACATAAAGTTAGGAAACATAAAAAGATATCACTGGTGCTCTGGTTGGGTGTGCGATGCCAGTGCCACAATGATTAACCATCTCAGTGAGAGTGGTCTTCAAAATGCTCCGCAAACAGAAAAGGATCAGAAGTGTGTAGACAGGGAATAAAAAGATGAGAAAACAATGGAGCCAGGTGAGCCCCCCGAGAGGGCAGGTGAGAAGAGAATGGCCTCAAATGTGTGCATAAACAATGGTAGTTTGTGCTGGAGAATGACCTCTACCTTGTCATGAACGGTCATACAGCTGGCTGCATCCTTTTGGAGGATTTCGGTCACACTATTGGAGAGCCTCTCGTACTTAAGCTTGGGCTCCTCCTCACTGTCCTCGTCCTGCAGGAAACCAGCTCTCACATACAGTATATCAAAAGGCATTTTCACTTTTGTTTTTTACACAATGTAATTCAAAAGGTACTGCAGTGACCATTGCGTAACACTACAAAGAGCTTAGGGTCATTGTCAATAACTTTTTGCCTAATTTAAAACTGTTAAACATCAGTGCTAAATTTCATGTTACATATTTTGTGACTGTTGCAAATGTCATTTCTACACTGTATACTTGCCATTTTAGGGGATATACAATACAAATAACCATTAAATTGCCTGAAATATAGCATAAAGCAATCTTATGAGAGGGTTCATCCCTGGCGTAATACATTGGTTTTGTCTTTTCATAAAGGAAACTTGGGACAATTCACAATGTTACATTCTTTTGTATGAGCCAACATTTGCGGCCAGTCACAGGCTGAATATTACTCATAATTCAGTTTATAACCAATGCTGCACAGTCTGGGGCTGCCCAGAGGGTGCATCAACTCAAAACATTGTCTGCCATTATGTGCTACTGGGTTGGAGGTGGGGGACAATAGCGTGAAAAAATGTTATTTTCAAAAACAATCCTTTCCCACTCAACAACGCCATATCTAGGCTATTTCCTGTGTATTCTGGTTGTGAGATTTCTGATGCGAGGGCATTTGTCACGGGTTTCAAAGGCGTATCAACAACAAAGCCAAACTTCATCTCTTGAGAGAAACTACCCATTTTTCAAACTTTTGCCATCTTGTAACTTGCCCTTTGTTTTGTCACATACACAGCTGGTTCTTGTAAACATTTGCGCACACCAGAGTCTTCATCTGGAGACACAAAACACATGAATGACCTTTTAATATCTAATTATTAAACATGATTTTTTATGACTTTTTGGCTACATACATAATATTCTTAATTTTAAGCATTTAATTAAGACATCAATTAAGTGTTTATCTGCATATTCAGTTTAGAACTAATAATATCAAACTGAATTCTGTAAAACTACAATAAACTGGTTCTATTATAGTTTTACACAGCTCTGTCTGACATTATCTGTCAGACAATCTATGCATCCTGCAGTAATGGGCAGACTTTCTGCTAGGTAACAGGGTGCCTGACCAGCAAGAACATTTCTTAACTCCTGTTTCCTAATATTTCATTCTATTCTCCGGGTCCTAAAAAGACAAACTCCCCCTCCTGCCAGGCTGATGTGTAAGTTATATTTTATTTAGCCTACTTGTGATTCTCTAAAGCTCAGGTGTACCGTATACTGAAGCACAGCCCTAATATTGATGGATCTGGAAAGCCATCTGTAATTCATGAGTGTCTGACACCTTTCAAACCCCTGACAAAGATCCTTCTGGGATCAAGTTGTGTTGATAAAGGTTGGCTCTGTTTTACAGTCCTTGTGGTAAGCAGTGGGGTCTGGGCGCAGAAATCATCAGTGCATGTCAGAAGAATGCAACCTTGTACAGACAATGTGTTACCGACATACTAGTGCAACTTCTCACTGTTACTTTTCATACAGAAGGTACGAGTGACACAAGGGGTGGGCACACAGAGATGTAATGCATCATACCTCAGAGTCATCTGTAAACTCCTCACTTGATTTTCTGCCCTGGAAGAACACAGTTTCAATCAATCTTAAGAATGAATGTAATCAAAAGCACGTTTAACACATTAGCTACTGAATCATCAGTTCAATCCAAGAGAGCGAAACACAGCCATTCATTTAGCCAGAAGTAACTGTACACCGTATTTCATTATTACAAGTGACTATGATTCATACAAATTGTTGTGACTGTTAGCATGTTACGCTTGCTTACCTGCTCCTCCGCTTCCGCCATTGCTCTGCCGGTCCGTTGAGCGGAGGCAGGGTGATTCAAAATGATTAGATCTAAAACAATTTACACACTAAATGACATGTAACGTTGTTTGCTGTATACAACGATGCCAATATGCCATAATACTGTTTACTTCATGCTCTTCCTTGTCATAAGCTAATCACATGACTGACAATCTGGCGCAAGGCATTGTGGGTATTGGAGTCTTTTAGAGACATGGCGCAAGATCCGTTTACAGAAGAACAGAACGGGAACTTGGCAAGATTTGCTTCTTCATCCATGAATAGTGTACATGGTAGGTATGTATTTGTAAGGTAAACAGAGGTGGTACACAATAATATAAACCAAATTCGTTGGATTTATTTGGAAATTTGTGCTACCGAGACGTGATTTTTTTTAATGCTAATTTGTATCTAGCGTCACCCTTATCTGTCACAAACATAATTTTTAAACATGATATATTCATCAGGTTTACTAAGTAAGATCTCAATAATGAGAAAAGATTAGCGATTAGCCACCAAGAAAGAGGTTTCAGCTAAAATAAATTTGTCACATTTTTTTTCAAGCTTTTACAGTTGAAGTGTACAGTAGAACAAAAATTTTAATTTTCATTATAAGTATATATTTTTTCCTTTTATTTATAATTTTGAAGAATATTTAAACACTACATGGTTAAACCACCTACCCCACCTGTCTTTTTGTGTGCTTGCAGATATACCAAACCACAGTAATGACTCTTGGCCTTTCAACAACTGTTTGCCAGGGTCCATCTGAATGCCATGGGTATGATTTGCCTCTTCTTTATTGAGATTGTCTCACACCCCCAACTCGCCTCATCCATCCTCGGGAGAATCCTAATGTACTGATACCAAGGGGGACTTTTTTTTCTTTACAATCTACTTAGCAATGATTTATTGATTGTGGCTTTCCACCCTCGCAGAGAATTACCGATCCTTTTTGGGAAATCAGATTTTCACACCTTCCTTGAGTGTGTATGTGGCACAGGTCTCTAGAGGTAAAGCGAGGGGAAACTGACTTTGAGGAGCAGTCCTGGTTGAATCTCTGAGGCGTCACTCTACTTCTGGCAACGGTTTGTCCAACTGTTCATGTCACTCTCCTGGTCTCTATAGTTTTGCATTATTTATTGGTAGATAAATAAACCGACAGTGTGCAGGTATTTTAATATGTTTTCAATCTTTTCAAAACACGCCGCTCACCTAATCGTATATCATAAGATTGCCAAGCCCCTCTGAGGTATAAGCATTTCATAAAAAAGGAAAATAATAAAAACAACCCGTGCCCTCATAGGAGGAGTCAGATTAGTGCGCTGAAAGCTTTGATGCTGCAGAATGTCAGGTCTGTGGATCGATCTAGCAAAAAACAGGCACACACACCTGACCAATCATAGGCCTCTCTCTGTAGCGGACCTGCTGGGCACCATGGTTTACAAGCTTCAAAGAGCTCCTTTTAATACACTGCTTTGATAGCCCTCAGCCCTCTCTGACCCTCCACCCGTCCACTGGGAACGTTTTAGCTGGAGCCAATTCAAGAGGGATAACTGCTCATCATATTAATGAGCAACTGAATGCAACAGTCAAACTCACCATTTTATGAAATCTTATGAGGGTAGTGTTGCTTTTTAGTTTGCCTGATTAATATCTAGCCTCTGGCTTTCATAAAAAGTTTATACTTATTTGAATATTAAATTATTTAATTGGCATGGGGCTAAAATAATTGTACATAATTAACTTTATAATAACATGTAACTACATGTTTATAATTAACCATTAAGTGTAATGAACCATCAAGTTAATACATCATCTGTAATAATAAATGTTGTAATTAAATGTGAATTAACATATGAATTACAGAATTCTGCCATAGTTGTGAACTATATTATTACTCAAGTGTTCTTGATGGATTCCATAATTTAATATTTTGTTTGTTTTATATTTTGATGTATAAATGTTAATTGTCCTTATTGATCTGTGTATATTTGGGGCTTAATATATATGTCATTATTTAATCTCTTGTTTTACTCAGGACAGCAAGAGTGTCAGAAAGAGATAGTGTACACACTGACTGATACCTCTCATCCAGCAATCTTCAATGGGACATATTGGGTAAGAGCAGTATCTATTAGCATGGATATCAGATGACGCCTGGGACTTTTTACTGACCACTAATTCTGGGGTCACTGGGGAATTTCGGCTGGAGGGAGAAGACGACATCAAGTGCTTTTTCATGTTTCTGCAACCTGTTCCTGAGCTTTCACCAGACAGAAGAGAAACTAAAAACCTCCCTTATCTACCACATACTCTCTTTCCCTGTCACTCCTAATTACCAAATTAAATGGTGGTACTATTTTCAATTTTTGCCACCACAAACATAGCATCATTTTGTTTTGCTCCAAGTACTACTACTCATGTATTGTAAAACTTAACTAATTTGTGTTGCTGTGAGTGCTGTTTGAGATATGTAAGGAACATTAACTCTAAGGATAAATTTTTAGATTATATATTCTATAATCCTTTACATTATATATTATAATATAATTATATTATATAGTAATAATGATTTAAAATAGAGAGTTGTGCTATTTGACACATTAGGTAATTAACCAGCTGTGTGCGATGGTGAGGGATGTGCTGGCCTCTTATCCTGGAGCCTCACAGGCCAGAGGAAGATTAGAGCTCTGATCTCATTCCCAGTACTTGTTTGGAGTCTGTCAGGAAGAGAAATGTCAGCATTAGAGAGGTAGCGCCACTCTCCTGATATGATGAAATAAGGAGAAAAGGGGAAAGGGAAAAAGATGGAGGGATGGACAGAGAGGACCGTGCCCTTCTCTGAAGTGTCAGGAGCTTGTTTATTCTATTTTTCATTGTAGCTGCTGGGCCAAAGATTCCCATTTTTCCTTTATTTGCCCTCTTCTCCTAACAAAAAACACTGCTCTCATTTTTTATAGGCCTTACAAACTCTCGTGCCCCAGTGTAAATTACATTGTGAAACGGTAGAAATTTCAGGGCTGCCTTTGGTTGCCGCTGTCCCTCTGAGCTTTCAAACGGTCAACAGACTGTGAAGAATAAATAATAAAAAAGTATTGATTATTTTGATGACTGCAAGATTCAATTAGGTATTAATTTTGCCCTCCAGTGGACCTATCAAGCCTCTGAAAAGGAGAGGTGGGGCAGAAACACATGCAGAATATGGCAAGGCACAGATAGAGGGGAAATGTGTTTACCGCACAGAGCAGATGCGGCATTGATGTGCACGCCACATTTAAGTGCACCTTAAATGAAGCCCTGACGACTAGTCACATTGTTACCAGGGATATGAGTATTGACCAGTGGGCTCACGGTTTTAACGACAGCTTAAACTATTTTTATTGATTAACATTTTCATAGATTATCATGTGTCATATCAAAGTGGGCTGATTCCTGTGACGAGAGTATTAAAAAGGGCCCTCTGGGCAGGAACTCATCGACCACACTTATGGAATGGGATGGGTGGGGATGAGGGTGGGGTGATAAGTGCATGGGTAGAACAAGACCCTCTCTCTTTGTGCCTGTGTGCACTGGTCACCTGTGCTCTGCTCAGACATATTTAGGTTGGACCCAGTTCATAAATAAGGAAGATTGTCCCAGAGCCTGAGGTGAGACAAACACTGTCTGAGGAACTCTCCAGTCTCACAAGAACTAGAGAGAGAGAGAGAGAGATTCACAGGAGAGAGGGAGAGAGAGAGAAAGAGAGAGGAGAGAAAGACATAAGAAAGAAGGGAGAGAGACATAAGAGAGGAAGAGAGCGAGAGGAGAGAAAGAGGAGGTGACATCTCTGACTGTCTCAGGAAGCTACCTCAGGCTTGAACCTGTGCTGCCCATTCACATCCATGAAGCTGAGGACACTCAGTCTCTGAACAAACATGTTATAGCTTTTAGCATGGTTTAACTGCTCTTTTTCTCACTTCTATTTTGGACATTTTAACCCATTTTCTCTCTTTTGTCAGGAGCTTGGTTTAGGTAAGTACTTTATTTCTTAGTGCGTTCTTGTTGTGTAGAAAAAAAGAGAGGAGTAGGAGAGAGGAGTTCATCCTTGTTGATGGTCTGTAGACAAAATCAAGTAATTTTGAATAGAATTTTGAATTTTGGTTTCAAATGTCATTTCATGTCATGATGTCACAATGAGTGATTTGCCCTAATAACTGATAAGATCTTACATGTTCTCTGACCATGTCACAAGTTTCTCATGCTACATTTGATGTGTTTAGTCAAAGCACAGGACAAGGCTCACGTCAGGTCCTAATGAGCCCTCAGAGATGGATAGATCACGGTTTGGGGACGGCAGGGTATAATGGTAAAGCCACGCGATCCGTAACAGTTGTTGAGCAGGCAGCAGCCGGCAGTATCAGCGGGGTAGCACCAGCTCCAGATAAAAGGCAGTAGCGCGGAGGGAAGAGAGGGAGGGAGGAGAGAGAGGGAGAGTGATGAGTGAGCCGTATGAGGAGCTGCTGGAGAGAGAGGGAGTAGAGACACAGAGTAGGAGCCGGTAAGGGCGAGACACTGAAGCACATCTGACCAGGCTCTTGTGTTTTTTTTCTTTTTTCGTGTCCCACCTGGGCAGCTCCCTCCAGGACCCCATGATCACAGGGCAGCTGAGCAAACCGCTGCTCTCTCTGCGCAGCGACATGAGCGCGGCAGAACTCCGGGACAAAGCACCTAGCCCCGACAGCGACCTGAACGACGAGCCCTTATTGCTGCCCTCTGAAGCCCCGGAGCGAGAGGGCACCCCCAGCAAGCTGTACGGTGAGTCCTGCTCCACACGTCCACGCTCTGCTCTGCGCTCTGGCTCAGGGCTCCTCTCACTCAGGAAGGGCTGGAGGGACAGGTGTCAGCATCCTGCACAAACTTACACTCCTGGAACTTTTCTGCGCATGGCTACTTTAAACACAGGTCTTTATTCAATCTGTAGTTTAGGGGTTTAAAGACTTCAAAGTTAAACATATATAAAGTTAAGTTTAAACCACATGGGTGTACAAGCAATGTATTTATTATAAGTTTAAAGAAGCAGTTTGATCTTCAATCAAACTGTTCATAATAACAATACATAAGTGAAATTTTTAGTAGTCTAGGGTCACTTGAGCATGACAAAGTACAGTAAGTTCTCCTTTTTGTAAAGTTTTTTTTTCTTTTCCGTGGGAGATGTGGCTGTGATTGAGGTGCTCTCTATAATACAGTATTACAAGATAATGAAACCTATGAAATATTACATTTATATACATTTTTTTTCTCTCAGCAAAAGAAGTATTTGTACAAGTTTAGTTTACTTTATAACTGAATTACTCTCTCATATATCAAATAGTCATAGAGGTGCTGAAATATAATATTGGCATTTAGTTTTTGGCTAGACTAAAATATATTTAATTATTTACCTTATTAATTGAAGAAATATGGTAATTAATAGAGGTGAATGACAATAAAAAATATAGATTTTAACTAGGTAATTTTGATAAGAAGATTTTTATTTATATTACTAAATCAATTTGATTTCATTGGCTTTAATTTGACCAGACAAGAAACAGTAACTTTTGAACATTACACAACCCTTTTGTTGTTTTATAATTATTGTATATGGAATCTCAATAACTTATTTTATTACTTTGTAGAGGGCTAATCAAAGTCTAACATTTTAAATGCTGTAAATATCTGTATGGGTTTTAATTAGTTTTTTTTGTACTTTTATAAAATATATAGAGACAATCTGTGGTGCCTCTTCCGTTATTGAGGGTCTGTTTTCTTGTAATGAGTTATATTAGATTTGCTCTGTGCATGTGCAAGCCCGCGAGTGTTTGTGCTTGCAGCTTTTGACTTAAAAATATTAACTTAAAATATTATAGTTGATTTATGGACTCATAGACATGCCTTTTTCGCCATTTTTACGTCACAGTCAACAGTGCAACTGACCTCTCTCTTTGTGGCTGGGCTTGCATGTCAGAAAGTCTAATAAATGTGTGTATACAGCCAGTTTACCAAATAATTAAGAACACCACTTTTCTACAAGGCAAAGTCCCATAAGTCAGAAGTAATAAGTGCGAGTGGAGAAGTCTTATCTGAAGTGTATCCTGAGGCAATAGCTCTCTAAACAAGGACTGCACGATTTGTCTCCAAAGAGTTGCAATTTGGTTTAATAAGCATCAAAACTCAGTCTCTTCTATTTGATCAGCCTACTTTTCACTCTGCTCACTTTATACGTACGATTGATTTTAAAAGTAGTTTTCAGCTCCACATTTATAATAAAGTTGTTGTGCCCTGAATGAATTGTGGGGTGGGTTTCTAATGCTTGGTGGTGGGCCTGGGGCAGTGGGGATTCACATGACCAGTTAAACAGAAAGCCTCCAACCTACTGGGGGCTGCTCAAGTAGAGAGACATTCCCTGTGTACAGTGTCCCTTGGGATTAAAGATAGCTCTGTATGGTGGTGTTAGTGCGTAGTTGTTTGCATTGTGAAAGTGCGTTCATATTGTACTGTTGAATAACTAAAGAATAAAATACAGTGCTGTAGCCAGAAAGGAATTTGACAAAAAGTAGAGCCAAAGCATTTAAGCATTATTTTGTAAAATTTGCTAAAAAAAAAAAGAAAAGAAAAAAAAGACATATTTGGATGACATTTGATGACAGTGCTGGTCCTTAAAAATAAATGACTCCTGTAATTAAATCTAAAATCAATAATGTATTATTATCATTGTGTTTCTTTTTTTTCCCTAGTTTTGCATAACTTTCTAAAATCTTACTACTTTTTTTAGTGCAATTAAGTCTTTTTAAAAGTCTTTTTTAGACATATTTTTGTGTCATCTTACATCCGTCATTGCTTAACTTAAAAAGTATATATTTACAAGGTTTTATTTATGCTAAAGTTAATACTAGATCCATAAACCAATAATAAAATCACATAATTTTCTTAATTATTTCAGATTTCTTATTATCTAAACTCTTAGGACATGTGTGTGATTTGTATTTTATATATCAGTCTTAGTACGCTTATTTCTTGTAAAGTGTCATTCTTCTGCTGGGCTGGTGGCTGGCTTTGGCTTGGAGTGTCTTGTTCCTGTGAGTTGGTGTCAGCATGAGAAGTCAGTGGAAGGCGATCACAGCAACGGTCATGTTTTGTCTACTGTAAATTGTCCACCTTCTACACCCACCACATTACAGCACTGGTGAAAGGGTCGTTCTGCTCCTAAAAGCTGGCTGCCTGTGCAAATAGTCTTCCACTTCAGCTAACAGGGGCTACGAGGCACCACAAACATCCTGCCGACTTGTATTTATTCCAAGTAGAAGTGGACATTAGGTGGGAAAGCTGTGGTTAGCAGGGCAAGCAATTTTTTTCTCAAAGCGCGAGATGGTGTTGGGTGCGTACAGTTTCTGTCTTCTCTTCTCAAGCAAATCTCCCCCTTTCAGACATCAACAGACAAGATAATAAGACACTCAGAGCACAATTCCGTATTATATTCAGCAACCAAAGGCTCATCTCTTGTCAGTTTGCATTTACTCTCCCAAGGATGTGACGCTTCTATCATCATGCTGTCAAAGAGAGCCCGGCTGGAACGACAGGAGCACTCATTTTATACACTTACTGTCTACATGAAATGGTCTGCACTTATACGGATTCGGCCAAAATGGTGGAACATTTTCACAAAGGTCACCCCAAGACCTCCCTTCCCAAAAGAGCAAAAATGAATCTCTCATTGATTCCCTGGGGTCATTCAGAACAAAAAAAACTCTTACCTGAATGCCACATGTGCTGAAATGCTACACCTTGCTTTTAGAGTTGTCCCACGTCTATGTGCAATCTTCTGCGCTGCATTAGGAGGATATAGGCTACATATAGCACGGGCCACCCAACCAAACTTACAGTAACTACAGCCATTTGTAGCTGCGAATAGAAGATTTTATGGCATAATGATGAATATTGAATTGATTTGAAATGCGATTTATCCAAGAGCCGTATGCAAAAGTGGAAGTTATAACTTCAAAATATAAAATGAAATAAATTGCGTTAAACTCCCTTCCTCCTCTACTGGTTTGTAAAGATGTTCCTTTCTGGTTGAACTAAGTTTTAAAAGAACTGTTTTTGTTTATTTAATCATAGCAGTCAGATTTCATTATGCAGAAGTTTGGTAATTAATGATATTGTAAAAAGACATATATATATATATATATTTTTTTTTTTGTAAAGGTTTTCTGGCCCGATTGCTTTATTTGATAGGACAGCTGAGGCATGAAATGAGTAGAGAGAGAGTAGAGACATCCGGCTAGGGTGCAAACCCACGGTGCTAAAGTGGTAACAACCACATATGAGCACTGTTTTAAACCACTACTACACCTGTGGGCACAGGTGTAGAACTGTAAGATTAATTGCAATCGAACTGAGATCACAATTCAAATGGATGCAATCAGCAAATCGCAAAAGCTGAAATTTTTTTAAAGTACTATAATTTCCTCTACAAACAACTAAATATCCTGTCTTATTCTGCATATAAATTGCTCACCATGAAGTTTAGTCTGCACAAACATGTTGTGTGACTCTTGTATTCATTTGTTAGTTCATAGTCAGCTTCAGTCTTTTTGTCAATACTTCTGGACACATGGACAGCAAATCAAATCACACTTGCAATGCTTTTCAGAAAAATCACAGTTAGTTTGTCTTGCTTTCGTCAAAGGTACTAGTATTCTCCAAAATTATGTTTGATCTGTATAGAATTATGCTGAAGTTTATGCAGAATGTGAGGCTTGACATGATTTTGTCGACATTACTGTCATTGCTAAAGTGTTGTTGCTCTCAGAGGCACACAAAGACACACATCTTGCTGCAGGCACAAGTAGTTATATTATTTTTGTGTAATCAGCTTAGTGAGCAGGATGCATGGTGGGATAGGCTGCTTACTGATTCAAAGCGCCCTGTAATGTTGTGTGCTGAGGTTAAGTAATAAAGTGGCACAAACCCGCTGCTGAATGGGCCTGGCTGAGTAAATAAGAGCGGATAAAGGAGCACGAGGGGAACAAGTCTCTCCCCAGGAGGTGGATCTCATTATGGGGATTCCACTTGTCTGCGTACACGTGAAAACAAGCTTAATGCATGCCTATAAAGCAGGTGTAATACATTTGCTAATGGGCCCGTGCTGCCCACGGCTACATCTCGCCGGTGTGTGCGTGGCACAGAGGACAGGAGCAGGGGGAACGGGACAGCCTGCACACTCTTGCTTTTCCTGAAAACAGCAGCAAAGGTCATCAGGCCTCATGGCTCCTTAGATATTCAGAAATGACACACTTCCGTATCACTTAATAATGTGCCATTGTGTGTGCAGAGCTAACTAGATTATTTTGTTTGAAGTGGAAAAGTGTGTTGTAAGTTCTGTAGGTAGAAAATAAATCGGTTTTCACTACTCATTTATTTTGAGTTATACACCTGCTTTAAAATGGAAAATCATATCAAACTTGTACATATATTGTATCGTATATTCTGTGTAGCCAATATCAGTAATGCTTTCATGTTGAGCTAACAAAGAGGCATCACATCTCCTGGCACGGACACGCTGACTGTTGTCGAGATGTAATTGAAGCTGCAAGGGTCACATTTTCGGAATAGAAATTACAGTCTTGTCTTTGACTTGTGTGGCGTGAACCAGAGATGCATCCCACAGCCCTTGTGTCCTTCACAAGCCTTTATTATTTATAACGCTCGCTCTTTGAGCAATGACCAGTACTAATGCATAACCTTCTGTCCTTCTGGCTGATTCGCTTCCTTTGAAA